TGGTGTTCTACATATGAAAGCTCGACGTCAAGAAGACTTCAAGGTACACCTTAACTCGTCAGGAAACATCCCGTGTGCCCTCTATGACGGTGACCCCACATACACGCACACACACTGCATGTTCTCTTCTCCAGGCTAGCCACTGGAGACATTGAGTTGATGTGAGCGGAACACATCTGAGAAGCCTGCGAACATGTAGTCCAATATGTCCCAAACATCGGTTCACGGTTTGTTTTGAAACCGACATACCTGTGGCGGCAGATAACTGACGAGACAGGTTGTATGCTCTACTCCATTTGCTTACTTTTGGAGTTACTGCCATGGTCTTTATTCGACGTTGTAACTCGAAGGCGATCTGTATTGGAATGTCTACTGACATTTTCGTCATCTAGAAATCGTTGTCAAAGCCTAGAGATGACTTCTTGGGTAATTCCAAGTTCCTCGGATACTTCCATCTGAGTTCTCTACATTCCATGCTGCCGATAGTTTTAGAGCATAAAAAAAACACTTCATCATGCTTCCTAGGTGTCATAACTATTATGTTATGTCACTGAGAGGCTTAAGAAACGCTTCTGAACAATTTTACTTCTTTAGCATCTCTCTCTCTCTCATTCCTTATATACTTTTCTTTTACACTGTCATAATTGTGACGTGCTATCGGAATCATCAGGTGGCTTCCTGTAATTTGCATATTATTGTTGAAGATGTGTGTAAAAATTCTACTGGTGAAATCTTTAGTCTAAAGTTCGATTTCTATGTGATTCTGAATTATCCTTAATTTATGGACATGAGTGTAGATTCCTTAATACAACTCTTACATACACAGGGGATGTGCACAGAGTGCTCCAGTCCTTAAAAAGTCCTTTACAAATCTAAGGAAACAACATGACTAACAGCTGTTTTTGATGTGGCCTCTATTAAGTTATTCCTTTCTTTATTTGTAGAATCACTCAGAAAAAAAAACAGTTGCATCACTTGCATCCGTGCTGAAAACAACAATTTTTCCTTAATTTAGTCGTACTGTAAAAGGTTCGCATGTAAAATTTTATGAAACAAACTGATAATACTTGTGGGCATTATTACAAGCAAAAATATAAGAAAAAAGATTTGTCATAATAAAGAACTCAATTAACTTATGTTTGCCTTTATATTAAATCTTAATTCTTTTATTCCAGAAGTTTTACATATTTTCATTAAATGTATTATTTTTATAAAATTAAAAAAGATGAATATCTTCTAAATATGTTTTCATTTTATTGCTTACTATATACAAGTGTCCCAAAAATAGCCCAAAAACTACACACCAGATTTTTCGTTGAGAGTATATAAAAAAGGCCCAAAGAACTGTACCTGTACGATCCATGTGTATGATGTTGCAGTCAATGTAAACTAGTATTAGACACATCAACAACAGTATTTGCAAATATTTATAAAGGAGGATGTCCGTTGTGGGTATCGAAGCAGGTTTGTTCACGCCTTGGAATGGATGAGTGCACATATTGCGGTAGCGAAGTATCCACCGAAGTACGAGTAGCATGGAGACAAGCACTAAATCCGTTTGTGTTGTCGCTTCGACTCGACACACTAATTCCTTGGGATTGCCTAGCTGTAAAAATTCCAACGGTATGAGATCTGGCTATCACGGTGGCCATAGAAGCGGACCCACATGTCCAAGTGGCCGGAGAATGTCATATTCAGTCAATCATGTTCTGGAGCACAGAAATGCACAGGAGCCCTAACATGAACTATCATGTATCAACGTCATTTACCGTATTTTTCACGTAAGCTATGAACCGTACAGGTGCAGTTCTTGAGTCAATATTATTTGTTCCCTACAAGGAGTTTGGCTGTGGAGAGATTGGGTGCTATTTTGGGGACACCCTACATAAAATTTAGATATTAAATGTAGATTATTGTAATAAATGAGTTATAAAAAGAGAGAGAGAGCTGTTTAACTAGAAAATTAAAAGGCGCACTATATGGGTCACCTGTCAAACTACATAACTTAGTCTTACCTATACGTAACAAAGGCAGGGGTCTCAGGGGTGCTAATTTTGTCTCCAGGGCAGAAAATAAAATTCTTTGAAATTAAAACTAAATTATTCGAATTTTTTACACATTATTGATAAAAGAATGAGGGGTTTCAAAAAAGTTCAAAATGTTTAAAATATAATCCTAATTTATAAAATTATAAGTATATGAAAATAAGAAACATTTCTGTAATAAATATCAAGTAATTTTTACGTTGCACAAGTTATTTTCTAAAATAGTAGCTTTTGATGTATAAGACTCTGTAGAATTATAAAATGTATCATACTCTATAAACCGTACCTAATTTTAGAATTTTATATCTTTATTTATTTCAAAATATTTCAAAAAGTATTCAAATTTTTAAATCATAATTTTTTTTATCTTTTTAAAAATCTAACTTATATATTTATATAAAAATAGCTGTACTTTAATAAGGATACATCTAACTTTATAAGTCAACTTATTGTTAGTAATTAGAGCTACTGTTTTAGAAAATATCATGCACCACGTCAAACTTAATTAATATTTCTTACAAAAAAATGCTTCTTATTTTCATATGCTTCTAAGTCTTAAATTATGATTATATTTTAAACATTCTACACTTCTTTGTGTGTGAAGCATCATTCCTTCATAAAAAAGGTGTAAATGATTCAAATTATTTAATTTTAATTTGAAAGAACTACATCTACTTGAAAATTGTTTATATCTTCAGTCCTCGAGACAAAGTTAACATCCCTGAGACCTTTTGTGTTATAGCATAACGCATTTCGATCAAAAAGCACAATTGTTCATACACGGATAAGTAGCAACTGAAAAATGACGGGAACAATATAGCTCAAAACACAGAAACAGATTATAAAAAGTAAAATCAAATATTTCATTTGATGTAACGTAAATAGGGGGAAGTTTTCCCACCTTTAAGGATTTTTCGATTAGTACATTGAAAATTGAAATGACAAGACCATGAAAAAAGTACACTTTATTTTTTAATACTTAATCGGTTATGCATACAAGTGAATTCTCTTCTCAGTATGAAAATAAATTAGAAATTTAATGTTAAAGAAATTCCTTCAATTGTGGCTTCTTACCCCATATATGGGGGAAGATGCCACCAGTCATGGAGCAAGATGCAACAACATCACAGTAAATAAAAAAAAATAAGGCCACAAATTAAAAAAAAATTAATATAAAATTACAAAAATTAAATATAAAATAACAATAACTATAGGAAAACAAAAAAAATTAAATTCTTTGATAATCAGCTTGTTAAAAATAATAACAGTACAGATTCGAATGATAGCTTACACAACATTTCACTCTGTGCAAATGATTATCGCTGCAATCTTTGCGCAACTATTTGTTGCATTTGATGCACTGAATCCAGTCACACCTGGGACCTTTTTTTTTAGCATAAAAGTACCCTTTATACACAGCACACAAATCGTCATAATTATCTTTAGCAAAACTGTCACCACTAGTATCTAGAGGAATTTCTTTATTTGAGGATAACGAACTGGCAGGTCTCTTTTTCTTTTGTTTCTTCGAAGGTTTCTTGTTATTTGCTTCGAATTTACCCGCCTTTTCTAGCTTTTTTGGGGTCTTTTCCCGCATAGTATTTAATTGTATACATATTTTATTCAATAGTATACAGTGTTACAATTTTTTTAAAAAAGACGAATTTTAAAGTTTATTTCGTTTACTTCTGAGTCATGTTGCATCTTCCCTCGACTATAGGAGAAAAATACCCCATACGCTTATTTTCTTATTTGCTACAGTATAATGGACGCCTCTATAGGCATCGTATGTGTAACATAAGGCTTAACTCACTTACATTGCTAATATCTTATTTAAAATAACAAGAACGTTTATGAACATTAAGTATGAGGAACGGAATATTAGAAAAGTTGTACTCACCACTTTAAATGCTCACAGATATCCAAGAATAACATCGATTAAAGATGATTAATGCAGATAAATCCACAAACCACACTTAATATTGCACCAGACTCTTCGCACAATTGGCCCAGTATTGCTATTTATCGACGCATAAAAGTATTATTAACAAACTGGCATCTTCCCCCGAATTACCTTATTTATTTTTTTTAAGAAAATAGATCTTTAAACTATGCAGATTATTCATAATAATGTCTAAACACGTCAAATGAAATAATGAACATTAGTGGAAAATACAATATTCTCCAGGATTATATAATATAACACAGACTACTTTCCCCTAATATCTTTTAGGGGAAAAAAGATTATTCCGCTGTAAAGATTCCCCCCCACACACCATAAATCAACCAATAAGTTCCTATAGAAAATGAGAGTTCCAGATAAAATCCACTTAAAGTCAAAAGACGTCCCCAAAATGTATCATAAAAAAGGGTTTCATAAAACGCGTCTGGGGTAGCCGAGGTACCCAATGAGGGATTTAGTTAATTCTTTAGGTCTTAGCGTGGGTCAACGATGATTTCGAGATAAATCGTACACAACTTTGACCATAAAACCTCTCTAAGCTGAAAGTCTTTCAAATAATAAGGTAAGCTGGGAAAATGAAGCCAAGGATTAAAAGTTGTGTAAAGTTTTATGTTTCTTTTGATAACTCACAAGTGAATGGATGACTTTTTGGAAGGAAATGGTATAAAATTACTTATATTCTGCTTTTTTTTTTCTTTTTTATTCTCAAGGTATCCAACAACGGTCAAAGCTGTGACTATGCAAAAGCGTACAAACGAATATTTTTTCAATTCCTACTATTAGTTCACTCTCTGCTGTTCAAATTGTCAATAATTAATAAAGTACTTTTTATTCATCCATTTAAGTTCAAATACATATTTTAAAATTTGAAGTGAATTACACTTGATGTTAATACGTTTTTTGAAATATTAACTCAGTAATTAAACTAAAAAGTGAACAAATAGAAAAATAATAGTCCAACAGCATGTATAGAAACGAAAATCGTTCGTTGTGTCTCTGTTGCGCAAAGGATAGCGCGTTGGTCTTCTAATCCAAAGGTAGTGGGTTCGAATCTTACCTGGGATTACCTTATTTCTGGGAATGTCGTTTCTTTTTTACTGTAATATTCTATTAGAATAATTAAATTTAATGAATGAATCAATAGTAACAAACAAACAAAAATAGCCCAACACCCTATATAGAAAGGAAAATAGAAAATGGCCATAAAAATCGCTTTCTACTTTCGTCACGTAATAGTGTGATTCTGTCATATGTATATACATATTTATATTAATACTAACTATTTAATAAAAAGTAACTAAAATAAAATTTTCTGTGCTCTCCTAAGCAAAAATCGACTTAAAATTTTTTTTATTGAATGTTTCATATCTAGTGACACTTGATTAAAATACACAAATAAAACTGTCTTAAAATTATTATTATTATTAATAAAAAATGATTTAAATGAAATATTTTGGAAAACAATAATCATAGAATTAGCCTTTTTCCAAACACATTTTATGGAAAATGCTTCTATAATAATAATATGTTGTCTATATATAACTCAAACATCTGTACAGAGCCTGAACTAGTATTTTTGAAATATATAACTTGAAGTGGATTTATATCCATCTTTTAATATCCAGATTTTAAAAATTTTGACACAAAAAAACCCCTATAATTATTTTAATTGATAGTAACTCTTAAAATAATGTGAAGTTTTTAAAAATCCTAGCTCAGGATCTCTGGAGAAGGTTCAGCTATATATAAGGAAAATATTATAGAAGCATTTTCCATAAAAGGAGAATGTTTTGAAAATAGGTAATTCTACGTTCATTTTTTGCCAAATTATGGCATTTAAAAAATATTTTTTTTAAAAAATTCTTAAAAAATTTTACGCGTGTATATATTCTAATCTAAGTGACACTAAATATCAAAAACAATTATTCTTTCTTACGCTTTTGCAAAATCACGGTTCCGAATGTAGTCGGATACCTTACCAAGGAAAAGTAGTAACAGATTAGTCAAAAATATTTTGTGCCGATGTTTTCCGTATTGATTTTTGGAAAAAACTTTGAATTGTTAAATATGGATTAAACGGCTAACCATTGATTTATTCGTGTATTTTTGTTGCCATTCAGAATTTCAAAACTTTTATTCGTCTATTTTGGAAGGAACTGAGACGCCAATATTTTTAGATTACTTTGAACAATAAAATGGGTTTCCCCGCTTGGGGAAATTTTAAAATACTTTTGGGGAATTTTACTTTACCAATTCAATCTTATTTCTTGCCGACACAATAAAACTAACTAATTATTGTGTCAAAATATTTCTTCTTTGATCCCTGCTTTCATTTTAAAAAAATTGTAACTTATTTACTTATCGGAAATACGTATGGAACCTCGAACTGAAGTTGATATATTATTTCATGTATTAGGAGTAAAAAAAGTTTAGAAGATTTCTCGCATTGTTCAACTTCATATCTGAATGACATTGTGTAAATACTACTTTATTCTGTTCTTTATTGAACCGCTTTACATAAACGTTTGTATGTATTACAAAATCCTTTTTTAGAGAGGAAACCTTTAGATCAGGGGTTTCCCCAAATTTTTTTAACCCCATGGACCCTTTTATAGTAAAAAACTTTTCGCGGCCCCCTTTTTTAAAAGTAAAAACCAAAAAAGGACCCCAAATCAAAACATTCGGACCCCCGTGAAAGCTTTTTTAAAATACAGTATAAAAGTTACAAATTTATAAAAACATTTTGCTGAAGAATTATTAATTGAAATTATAACTTTCGTTTAAAATAAAATAAAAAAGATTAATGACTTGGATGAACCTGATGAGATGTTATGAGTGTATTTATGTCCATCTCAATGTTTGTAGCAACCACAAATTTCCACAACTAGTTTTTTGTCGGTTTCTTTTTTGTGTGTGTGATGAGGTGTTTTACGATATTGAATCCATATTCTACCAAATTGGAAGACAGGAATGTAATCAACAGCTTCTCCATAATAACCCGTAATACAGGATATAAAATTGGGATTTGTTTTTGTTACAAGAATTTGTAGTATCCTTGTCAAAAAACTCCTTCATTTTTGTGGATAGTTCAATAAGATGCCCATGTATTGTATGGATTCATCTGTGCTTGGGATCTAAGTTAAATTACGCGCAGAAGGGTTCACACCCAGTCCAGAATATCCAAGTGAATTATTGTAATTTATTTAAATTTCAATAAAAATAAAAATGGATCAAAAGTTTTCTTTATTTTATATTAAGCCTTGCGCATATCCCTGACATTGTTCAAGGACCCCAAAATAAATTTTAATTTTCCACAGACCTGAATAATATCGGGGACCTCTGGTAGTCCGTAGGGACCACTTTAGGAACCACTGCTTGAGATACTTTAAATAAAACTAATTTTCTTCAACAAAATCAGCCAAACCTAATGAGTTATTTGGAAAGGAAAAACATATTTATGTAGATAACCACACCTAATGTAATAATTTTGATAAGATTACAGAAAAATGGATACTTAAAATTCATATAGTATATATACTGTGACGTTTTAACTGGACGATAATGGATGAGATGAGTTATTTTGTTATTGTAGTTCCATGTTTTATTAAGTAACACAAATAAAGTGGCAAAGTGAATTGCGGCAACACAAATACCATAAAATCCACCGTATAACGCGCACTTTTAACACAAAAAAAAAGATAAATTTAGGGGGGGGCTTATAGGCGGAAAAAAAATGAGAGCTTTAAAAAAAAAAAGATGATCTAGGGAAAAATTTTTCTTCTACAAAATCGAAAAAATATTTATTTAAAAAAAAATGACATTCCTTATGAACTGAAAAAAGGTTGTTAGAAGTATACTATTTTTAAAAAAAAATTGAGCTATCATACCTTGGTAAATGACTTCAAAACGTACATTGCATTTTCATTTCGGTTCTTTAAAAAAAAAAGGGGGGCGTTAAACGGCGAATATGCCTAAAAAAATAAAATTGCGCAAATATAGGTGCGTATTATACCCAGATTTTATGGTACTTTGGGCCGCAATGGACAAAAGCGTTCTTAGCGTTTGAGAGAAACAGCTTTTATTTTTAAACTAGCTTTGAAAATCACACGATTTCCGTTATTTAATATCGTGATTTGTCAGAATCAGTAGATACGTGTAATACAACGTCGCATCATCTTATAGTGAAAATCATTTAGTAGGAAACTGATGGGTGCTAAAATATTTTTTCAGGTTAAAAGAATTTCGTGTTAAGAGATATTGCAGCGAAAAAAATGTATTCAAAAAAATTAAGTTTATTAGAGTACACTTTATTTACATAGATACTCGTTTTATACATGCAGGGTTTCTTGAATCCCATAAGAAAAACTCACAAGAACTTAATGAAATTGAATTCAGAATTTAGCAAAACCATTTTATTCATATGTTTTCATTTTTGTCTTTTGTTTTTGATCAATACTCTTAAGCAGCTCTATCTTCATTTAAAGCAAAATAGCAGTTTGCTTTCCCCTTGAGCTCTTTGCCATTCATCGTGCTTCTAAGAAAAAAAAATTCTAAAATAAGGGGGAAAAAACCGTGAACCAAAATTATTATTTTTACTCACACTGCGATGTAATCGCCCCCGAATTCCAAAGATAATTAATAAGAGAGTAAAATTTTTTGTGCGGTGTTTGGAGGTTAGCTTAGATAAATAAAATTTGCTTGGGCTACATGCTATTCCGAAGGTGTATCAAAGTCAGGTTAGCCTTCTTTCTACGAAAGATACAAAACCATCTCTCTTTCATTTCACACCCCTCCTAAATCTTGACGGCGCGGTTGGTGTTTCCCGAATTTTCCTTTTTTGGGGTTTTTTTAAATCAAGCGATTTTCGTTTTGTATTAAGAGAAAAAATGCATGAAAATACATAGTAATTTGTCCAGATCGTTGAATTATTTCGAATTAAGTGATATTTCGTTTCAAACTTTTTTGTGTCAAACGTATTTCACTGTATTTAGACATTTGCGAGTTGGCAGTTTTTGAGGAGATAAATTTGTGGATAAAAGTATATTAAAGCTTAGGTGGGAAACTAAAATATAATAGTCACTCGATGTCTTGGACAGTTCAAGACCATCAAAAACTAAATTAAATACCTCGACAAAAATTTATATGGTGAATTATTACAAATCTATCTATCTATCTATCTATCTATCTATCTATATATATATATATATATATATATTTCCTCTGGTATACCCATTCTTCGCACGGGTGAATTGTAAAATTAAAAAATACAGATTGAGGAATAAAGAAGTTTTTAATGGTTAATTTTCGTGTTGCAATTTAAAAAAAAAAGTTGCTTTCCCAACTGAAAAAAATTTAAACTTTAAGTCTGTAGATCTAAAGCTGAAAAAAAATTTTTTTTTTACAAAACCCCTGTAACACTTTTTTCTTTAGCTGATCTCCTCCCCAAAAATAAATTTGTTTCAAAATTTTGTTTAAAACTTAAAAATTTTTGAGGTTAAATTTGTAATTTAAAACAACGCCCTTCCTTACATTATAATGGCTCCAACTGAAATATAGTGAAATGTTGGCTAAAAAGAATTAAACATCATTTTCGGGGTCCTTTGGGCTTTGGAATGGAAAAAAAGGGCGCAAAAATTTATCTTACGCCCCCGGTGGGGGGGCTGTAACAAAAAGGATATCCAAAACCTTCTCCCCAAAAAAAAACATATCGCCAATTTTGTGATCGGTTAACGGTGTTGGAGTGTTGGTTTAAAATTAAAAAATTTCCCTTTACATATATATAAATATATAATCCTTACTAACCTTAAGACTAGTATAACTGTTTAATTTTAAAGATATCAAATTGTATATATTTTAATTTCCTGATCTATTCGGGTTTTAAAGAAATTTAAAAAGATGTATCAGTTATAATCTTCCCGATTTCTGTCAGTACCATAAACAGAAGGAAAAAAGTTTAGCCCTTAAAAAGGGGTTAATTCCATTTTTAAAAAGGGTTCCGCTTACACAGCTATTAAAGTATCCAAAGATTTGCGTATAATTTTAAATTCTTTAGATTTTAAAAACCT